GAAAGGCGGATGAATTTAAGAAGAATACACGATGAATTTAAGAAGAATACACAATAAATTTTTATTTTTTTCCAAAGTCAAAAATGACAATCACCCACAGACTTTCTTCTGCGGTGTAACTGACGCAGGAAGACACGCAGGAGAAGCTGTTTTACACTCGTTTAGTTTCCTTCATCATATTTCGTAATTTATGTGTTATGTGAACTCGACTGAATCATTTTCGAATGAAAAAGTCCCGCTTGACTTTTTACCAGTCCAAGTGATGAATTTAACGGGTAGTTTACACATTCAATGTGGCACTTTCGGATGTTCACTTAACGTGTTTTTCGTGCATAATCGAACTATTTCCTTTTCGAAAATAATAGGGCCACTCGCTTTGTCTTCTTCAAGACATGAATTAAATCAATAAAAAGATAAACAACAATGATAGAAAAATTCCAACTTTGGTGGGCTCCTGAAAAACGTTACTAACTTATCCCACCCTTACAATTTGGCGTGGAAAGCAGATCCACATAATTTTTTTGCAGTCGCCTTGTGTTAAGAGTAAGGAGAATTAAATTCTGGGTAATTTCCGATCTGCTATGGATCATAATTAACAGTTATAACTCTAAAAGATAGCAACTTAGCTTTTCAGCAAGTTGCATTTTATAACTGAACGTTTTAATGGGTGTAAAGGCCCCAATCGTATCGTACAAAATTGATGCAAACGAAATACTGAGGATTTCTTTTCAAGGCCTTTTAAGCGACAGCTCATTTGAACAAAGGACACTTTTTGGTCGGACTTAAGTCACGAAGTGAAAAGTCACGGTGGAAAGCGTCTTTTCGATCAATAGTGTTTGAAATTTCTCTTCGGACAGACATTAGACTTCCCGAATGATTAAAAAAATTAAGTTAACAGGACAAACCACGAGGATGGAAAGTGATATTTGAGACCGAACGCGGACGACAAAAGGATAAAACAATCATGACACATCACGTGCAATTTAAGGCTCGATCAAAATAAAACGCTATTTGTACTGACGTAGATTAGCATTAGGAGTTGGCGTTTTTGGCTTCAAATTGCCTCGCCAAGGTTGTAGTCCCTCACACATCAGGTGCTTTTTAGAATTTTTTCCCCTTCAGTCATCAGCTAAGCTTGAAATCATCTCACGAAGATTCATTAAATGTTTAGGGCCACAATTAATCATTTGTCTTGATGACAATTTTAATAAACTTCAAACTCTCATGAACTAAAATATTTTTTAAATGAAAACAAAGCTTCAATTTATTTTCATTTAGTTCTTCCTGCAATGTATGGTTTTTAATTCAGCCTTACAAACGCGTACTGATGCGTAATATTTCGGAAAACGAGTTGAGATATAGATGACCAATTAAAATTTTAAAGGTAGTCTAAAAATGGTTACGGAACATCCATCCAGAAGCTAATTTCGATTCATGCGGCTTTGCAAGATAAAACGAAACCGCTGAGTGGGTTTGATGTCATGCGAACGGTATCTCAGTGTTTATAGAGTGGTCTCATAAAAAATGAAAACAGTCATTTTTATCGCAATCCTAACTTCTCGAAAAAACTAGGTTATTTTTGGAGTTCATTTACAAAGTGAAGGAGGTGAGTTAGTATCGCGATAAAGTTGGCACTCATGAGTCCAGATGATGACAGCAAACCTTTTAGAGTTCATATCTTTTCCACCTGTTTGTGTATATTGTTATCAATACTGTTTATAGATGATAACGCCTACGTAAAAAACACCTTATCTTTGGTAAAGCGGTAAAATAAATTATTCACTTTTTCTTTCATTAAGTGCCTCAAAGAGTATAAAATAGGCCCCTCAACTCCGTATCCAACATATTGCCTCGACTCAGGGAAGACTCCTCCAGTTTCTTTTTCACAGTGGACTCTAACCATACATGAAATCTGAGCAAAAATGCGCGGAAACGTTGACGGG